CATGCACAGACACACACCAATGTAAATATGTGAACACAGAAATCATCACATCAGTTCAAACATGTGTCTACAGTGCTTCCAATACTGACTTAGACAAATTGGAGTCTGCAATAAATATTTCAGGTGAAATTAACAAGTGTGAACAAAGGAAAAAAGAGAAACGTCTGCAGGTTTTGTCAATCATATGACATAAGGTGTTGGGTAAATCCCCAATACATTTATTTGTGATCAATTCTGTGTCAAATCAAACTATTATTGGATACAATATGTTCTTGGAGAAATGAAAGGGGAATAAAGTACAGTGTATTCCATTTTTGAGTATGGTCTCACAGAACAATGTCCAGAAAATGAGGTGCTCACATGCGTGCGCACAACAGGAGATTGTCCTTGAAAAACGCATTCTCACTTATTGGCAATACTCTGAGATGGTGCCTCGGTAAAGCTTGCAGGAGGCAGGACCTCACCTAAACTACAAAGCCAGTTCAACATTTTCTCATTAACAGCGGGGTCTTTGCTGGTCTTTCAATTGGTCTGACGATATCAGCGTCTGCCCTGGTTGTTCTGTTGGCGTTTGTTTTATCGTAACCAATGATTCAATGATACATAAATCATGCATCAGCATGCCCAATGATCCGTTCAATATTTGGTTAGAAAGATTTGAACCTTTGCATTCCAACATATAGCCGCAATAAAGGTCATATCTGGAGAATTTATTCTGTGCATGTAAAAAACAAATTACAATATGTTGGCCTCTGTAGCAACGATCTTGATTGTTTTACTTTTTAAATCTGATCCTTGGAAATTCTCCAGTTTATTGTATGGTGCAGTTACCCTATAACTTCTTTTGTGGTATGCACTTTTCTTTTTTCGAGCATATTCTGTTCTTGACTTTCCTTATCCAAAGTATGGCAACACTACTATCACTAGTGTATAAGTAACTATTATAAACTAATCCATCTATTATACTGTACTAATTAACACACCTAATAAAATATATACATTTGAATTTGTAGCATGGTTTATCACCCAACAAGGTCTAAACACAACCGTGAGAACCAGATCAAGGAAACCACCTGATGGATGGACGCTAGGAATATTGAAAGCCATGGACACGGTACTGCATGTCACGTAGCAACCAAAAGGGCATAATACCTCATGACTCACCTTTGCAAAGACTCAGGCGGGGCCGCTCACCTGAGCCAAACCTCCGTGCTGGCCGAAACCCACAGGCTGACGTGAGATTACTGACAGCTCACAATGGAAACATGCAGCAGCCATGAGAGATGGAGCAGTTTGAAACGTTCCTGAAGCGTTATTCCATACTACCCTGACAGCTTCAAACTACACGTCTTTTGCTTTAACAAATGAATATAGCTGAAGGAAGTTGCGGCGCCTATATTTACAACCAGCATGTTTCAAATGCCGCAAACAGCTTCCGTAAACAAAGTTAAAGTCGCTGTCATTTCTGCTGCCTCGAGGCGTTGTATCCCAAATAAACACAGTCAGGTGCACAATTATACACAAAGAAACACACACTTGCACCACATGTGAAGCACACCTGCACATTTAACCCCCCTCTCAACACGCCATGGTTGCTAGCCCCTGTCCCAAGGGGCTGGGGAGATGAATGAGCTCATGTCAGACACACACACTGACAGAGATGATGATGAATTACATATATATTAGCACACAGCCTGAGGACTTACTCCTCCTGCACATAGGCTACGCAAAGTTCCGAATTCCCTTGCACCGAAACAGCAAACAACAACGAAAGAGTCTGAGTCAGCTGGATTCCTTAATGCACGTACGTACACAGACTCTTGATGACAGGTATTTCCACTTCAGGAGAGACACAATGCTGAGCTGTGAGCCCGGTGTCAGCTACTTCCTGTCTGAATAGGTCAGAGGTTAAACACTCTTCAGTCTCTTTAACTCCTAGCACAGGAATAAAGAGACTGTGAGACGGAGCGGAGGAATGGCGGAACAGTTTCCCTCTTCTTATCCCTGCAATCTTTACCTTTGTTTCCTCTGATTCACATGTGCAAGTAGTAGAAACTGCTGGTTAATCTACCTAAATAACTGAACAAGTGGAAAGTGAAATGCAGACTGTGAAGCATTGAGACAGAAGAGTTGATTTGAGTGATTTCTTCAAGAAAATATTTGCTGGTTCCAGGTGCTCCAATATAAGGATTTCCTGCTTTTGGTCGCTTTTTTTATTATTCTGTCAATCTAAATTATTTTTGGTTGTGTCTCCTATTCGCATAGTCTGAATTTGTGATTTGATCTAAAAATAATCTTTATATTTTGTTATTTAAATAAGTGATGCCAAACTGTTTTAACCTCAAAGTTGAAACAATAAAATTCTTCCTAGTTTCCAAACCCCAGTACATGGGGCTCTACCAACTGAACTTTAAGGAGGAGCCATTGATAGTAATGTGGTTTCTCTAAAACAAAGCGCTGATTTTGCCGCATTTTTATTTTATTTTCAATTTTCTAATGTTCTATGCTGACCCCAACAAGATGTGCAGTTAACAATTCTTTGTTTGATCATATGAAGGAACCAATTATTGGAAACTATTTTGTGTTGTTCTGACCGGATCTTGAAATCTTCCTGAGCAGCTGCCTTCACACTTTTCTTTAGCTGATCAAGTCTATGAGCGGATGTTGCAACTAGTTTAAACTCTATTATTGGACCAGGTTGCCTAATAGGGTAGCTCACAACTACACAGTATATTAGGACTGGTGGATTTGAAAAGTGTCTGGAGGAGTTCTCAATGTGGATTCAGGGTTAAGACCATAAATGAATGAGCCCAACACGCACAAAGAAACAGGCCCAGGTGTGTGACCGGTGCTTCCATCTCCTCAACAGTCAGTCAGCAGGGCCTCCTCTCTAATCCGCCGCCATCACTCAACTTCATCTCAGCTCTAATCTCGCCAGGCCAAAGCTTAGCAGAGGCTTTAAACCGAGGGCTGACGGCTAATCTCGACCACAACACCCCTGGGTAACTCTACACCATCCCCAGGGGAGCAGCCACAATACCCCTGGGCCACAGCGATGAGAGAAGGACCTCCCAAATATCAGAGACACTTCACACCTAGGGAAAGATGGAGGGATAATATGATTGCTTTTTTTGGTACAGGCAGCGCATCTTTTTCTCATGGGCTTTCAAAGCAGAATCCATTCATGAGAATTGCTTCATCAGCTGAATGAGTCCATCAAATACACTTCCCCTCATACGTAAAGAACAGAGTACTTGCCTGAATATGAGTATTTTTTCAGCACAAACTGGCAGGATGCTGCCTCCATTACTCTTAAAGAGGCAAACTGGCCTGTTTCCAGCTGTATAACAGCTTACAGTAAGCACCCAGAGGCTGTCAACTGGACAGCTGATAAGTGTTCTCTATGGTCCCAGACACAATGACCGGCAATCAGATACACGCATAGAAAACATGAAACATTCATGTTAAGGTCAGGTATATGGAACGTGCTGCGCTGTGTCATGAATTTCTTTCTGTACAACTATACGAGTTACATATTATTATTATTATTATTATAGCAGAGCAACTTCATTCTGCAGCAATGTGTGCAGTTTGTTGATATGGTCAGTATTTCTGACAGTACTGCAAGCACAAATCAGTGTCAAACTTGTTACGCAAGTAAACGTACAAAAGTATTAGCATCTAAATATACTTAAAGTATCAACAGTAAAATAACTCATTCTGCAGATTGGTCCATTTCAAAATAAAATATATGATATGTTTTAATTATAATGATTGATGCATTAAAGTGTTATCAAAGCTGGTAAAGGTGCAGCTAGTGTTAATTACTTTTCATAAAATGGACAAGTCAAATCAAGCAAACTGAGGGCAGAAACCCTCCTTTTTACGCAGCGGTCCAGACATAGACATCAAACGGCAAAACGTATTCAGTGTGCAGTTCCTTTGGCATCAGGGCAGGGATATCTAGATACTTTCCAAGGTTTGACATAATGAATTGTGCTACTTTTAAAGCAAGCAACGATGTTTTCAAATCTGTAATCAAAAAGGTCCGCAAAAACGCTATCGACCAATCAGATTGCTTGATTTGACTTGTCCGTTTTATAAATATTATTACATTTCGTCCGTTACGAAACAAACTTACAAAGTTTAAGATGGAAACATTTAAGGTTCACTTTGACCTCCGGGGGGGGGGGGGGGGGGGTCTTACTATGGAGGAGTGGATTGAGGAGTGCCTATCTCCAGAAAAAAAAAAGCACCTAAACAACGACATGCAGAGCTACGTGAAGAGCAGGTAGATCAACTGGAGAAGTACTACCATTCAAAAGCTTTCTGATGCGGGTCTTGAAACAAAGCAGAGATGATGACCGTTAATTGCCACAGGTGCGAAAGCTCTCTCCAGAGCTAGTGGAAGCCGAATCTCGGGGACCGGAGAAAGTGGAGCAATATTCTCGCCACGCCAAGCAACAGCTTAGAACAACCTCAACCTATACAAGTGACCACGTAAGCCGTGCTACTGATGCTGGACAGTTTTTCAGTGGGTGCACAATAAATGGCAACATACTAATGAATGTAAATAAATAGCCAAATAATGGATCAACGCTCTCTGTCTAATATGTTCGCTAGCTGTTAGTGTTGTTGGATAGTAACCACCTCGCACTATGTTTTGTGCAGAAGGCAAAGGAGGGACTATTTTATTTTGAACATCGTTATTTACTAATATTTACTAAGTACAGTACTTGGGTAAATGTACTCAGATGTCCATCAGTTATGGTCTTACTCAATGAAATAGCAACAACAACAAACACATGACTAAGTGTTCAGGTCATTTTGCTAGCTCTTAAAGAAAGAATTCAATGTAATAGAGGGTCATATTTACTACTTTCATTACCCATGAATATCCTTTTAAAAATAACATTTGTATGGCGTTTATTACGTTTTGAAAGATTTTTAAGAAGAAACAAACATTTGTATACACAAACACAGGGAGAACCCCGACTTACCACTTCAGTAGGACGGAAGTATTTAGGGTCCACCTTGACATGTACCACTCCTGTCTCCTGGCAACGGCCAACCTCCTTCTCATCCTTCCCCTCCCACCTGGAAAGACACAAATGTTAGCGGGAAGGAAACATTTTTGCACAGCTGCCGGAGGCTTCAGCCGTCCCTTCCTCTGTCTCCCTGATTATTTCTTGTGCAGTTTGTTTCTTTAACGTCTGGTCCCAGACACAACATGTCACCCGTGGGTTTTCTGAAGCCAACACGGCAGCGCCACACACCTTCATCAACATGTCAGTGTCTTCCACGACACAAGGGGGAGGTGAATGAGAGGTGAGAAAGAGGAGGGAACTGAGATGTGGTATTGACTGGGAGACAGAGGTTTTCTAAATAAAGCCTTTTTCAAACTTGGAACTTCTACTATTTCTTGCTTGTTTGTGCGCCATTCAGGATGCATCGGGGATGACATTCTTCACTTATTTTTGAATGATTTTCTTTGGTAATCGATGTAGATTCTTCCTCTTCTCCGTCCAAGAAAATCTATTTGTGCTCCTATACATTGTTTTCATCCACACTGGTACCTATTTAATTTGGACATTTGCAAAGCCCAGTTTGCAAATTGTCAGTAAAACTGATAAAATTTGCTGGATTTCACATTTTTGTCCGGGTTGGTATCGACAGGGTTAAAATGGCTGATAGCTAGATGATTACTTTCCGGGGTGTTACCTTATTTTGTATTGGACCATGGGGTAAAAAAAAAGTAGTATAGTAGTACTATACTATACTTATACTACTATATATATATATAAATATATATATATATATATACATATACACACATATATTATACATACTATGGTTTATATATTAAATACTTTATAACATAGACGCAGACAGAGACGCAGACAGAGAGACGGAAGAACAAGCACTCCCTTAGAATAGGTTGAGGGCAAAGGGTAGCAAGTAAGAGAGTAAGAAACATAGGTGGAGAGGCACACTCAGGGAACAAGGTCGCCACTGGAGCCTTAGTTGGAAATTGATGAGAGATAGTGAGGTACGCTGTGTCTACGAATCATAACACTCCCCGGCCTGTCTAAGCCACTCTACAAACCGTTTCCCTCTAATAAAACCTCGAGAGGTTAGAGAGGGAAAAGGTCTTGGATAAAAGTTATTCTTGATAAGAGAAGCCTAGAAGGCCAGAGAGAAAAAATAAATAAAAAGTGATTTGCACAGAGACTTGGAAGACAAAGTAATGTTGAAGGCTAACGCTGGGAACTTAATACGTGTATTCTCTTATTCCGATTAACCCAGCCACATTTTTTCTTGTTTTGTGTCTATATCTACGCCGGGATCCGGAGTCGAGGCTGATCTTCTTGCTGTGGTCCTGTGTCCTGGATCCTCTATCCTGAGTTCTGGATTAAGTCGTGGACTTCGGGTCGTGGCTGAACCTGTCTCTGCGGTCCTGCCTTGGGTCTCGTCATGCTGCTTCCCTGATGGCTCCCACAGGATTGTAGTTGACATCCTCGTGGATTCATCTTCTTATTACAGACACATGCATTTCCTAACATTCGGTCTATATGCTGTAAAATGTATTATCTCTTCGATTTACACACGGCATCTATTGCACGTCTGTCCGTCCTGGGAGAGGGATCCCTCCTCTGTTGCTCTCCCTGAGGTTTCTCCCATTTTTCCCCCTTAAACTGGGTTTTTCTCTGGAAGTTTTTCCTTGTACGATGTGAGGGTCTAAGGATAGAGGGTGTCGTTTTTTCTCATACTGATATTCTGAACAATCTGTGCTGTTGTATTTGCTGTAAAGTGTGTATGAAGAGAATAGTCTATGCACATTTATATACGCTCATCAATGGTTTTATTGTCTTTTTTACTTTTGAATGAGAAATTATAATTAAATCACTAATTTATTACAGTTTATACAGTTACCTTTATTTCTCAAATCAGACTGGAGTCTTATACAAATATTATTATGTGTTTCCTGCGATTGTTGCGACCTTCATGGAAACCTGACTTTTTTTCCAGAAACAGAGAACATTTTTGGAAACGTGTGAGATAGTATTGTGTGTCTGTGTGCACTTACACTATTGTCTTCCCCAAATGTATGAAGGCCTTCTCCACAAACTCCTTCACGCTGTGCACCTCCCCCGTCGCTATGATGAAATCTTCTGGCACCTCCTCTTGCAGCATCAGCCACATAGCCTGTAAGTGACAGAGAGATGGGGGCAGAGAGGTTAAAACACTGAGAGATCATAAAGACAGTTCGGCGCTCCAAACTGGACCCTGCCCAACTCGGCCCTGACAGACAGGAAGTGAACCTGCGACCTCTAAGCGGGGCATTCGCCCGTACCTCTGTCCTGACGTCACAGCACGGACTCATGGGACAAATAGCGTGGGAACGGAGGACAGAACACTCCCATAGGCCCACTTTGCTGCTGGCACACACAACAAGGCATTTATGTGTCCATGAATGCACGTGCACCTATGCACGCGCACACAACTGCACTGGTCAAAAGCACTTAAAATGACTACAAAAGGAGATGATAAACGTTCAGAAATAAAATGACAACAGTATCCAGTCCTGACTAGTGTTCACTATTTCTAACTCCACGGTGCAGGCAGTATTATCATTAGCCTATATAACCCAGTGAAAGCTGAGAGTCTGAATCCCTCAATAGACCAAGCACTATATTAAACAGCCAGCGAGGGCGTCTGTGCGTGGTTCCATAATATTTATGATGAACCAGAGCCAGCGGGTCAGAGCTGCCGACCTCTGGCATGTCTAGCCTGATTAGAAAAGACTCAAAGGGGACAGAAAGACAGATGGACAGACGGACAAATGCTCACATTGCACACGCACTGACAAATGGAATTAGGACACAAGCATAGACATGTTTATAGTGTTGTATACAGTAATGGTGGGTATAATTTAGATTTGAATTGATTCTGATTATTTATTTCATTTCCTCTGTATTTCAGGTTTAGATTATTGGTTAACTTTTTGGGGCTGGAAAACAAATCTAAAGTATGTTTAGATAAAACAAGCTATGCTCAATTTCAGTAGATTTGTGTTCAGTCCATACTTCATCATCATTACATCTGCAGACAGCTCAAAGTCAAATATTCTACCATTGCTATTTATCTATAATAAAAGACTTGTGACTTCACTCATTGGACTTTTTTAAGGACATTTGGCATTTTTTTTTTGTAACAAAGTGACTCGAGAGATTGAAGCTAAGAATAACCTAATGCTGAACAAGACATTATTTGGCCATTACCAACCTCTTACAATAAACTGTCATGACATGAAAGGGTTAAAGTTGTAAGACAAATCATGGACAACACCCAAACCAGAGCCATATAATAGAAGAGTTATGACATCTCCGTTCACTCCAATGGACCACTTTTTTTTACAGCAATGGCGGATCGTGGAGCCTCTCATTCGTTCCCCGGAAGTTAGCGCCAAGGCTAGCAGAGCTGTGGAGTTGCAGCAGAATAGACCGTTCGTGACGGACTTTTAAAGGTAAGAAGAAGTTTAAAGATTTATATTGCGGATATTATCAGTACATCTGATTCAATTGAACATGTGTATTAAAGGATGTCAGTGGATTATCCCTAAATTAGTAGATTTAGGGAACGTTTACAGATAACAGATCAAGCTAGGATACCGAAGCAAGTTAGCAACACACGTTGAACAGCCTTTTAATTGTAAATTCCGTTCTCTTAATGTCTATTTGGTCCAACGTTGTTGAATTAGAGAAGAGGGGCTTCTAAACGGGAAGTTCATACTTATTATACCTGTGTCACCTTTCACACTATCGCTGTGATCAGGGGCGGACTGGGACTAAAATTGACCCAGTCCAGCCACATGAAATGTCAAATGTTAGAAATCCGCTGTTTATTGTTTAAAGTTTTACGTCCGACTCGCTCCTTTTTCCCTCTCTGTGCACAGCTCCAGTTTGGGCATTGGCCTGTCATCAGATTTCATTTTGAGCTGCTTCCTGTAGCGGAAGTTTAGTAAAATTATTTTTGATGAAATACTCCAAATCTCCACCCTCCATAATTGCACTTGCTTCAGTTGCTTGCTACTTTTTAAGGGCAGTGATGACAGTTACAGTACGAACTGAAGTTGATGCGATTTGATTGGATTGTGAGGCATGACGTGCATCATCTGATTGGTCAATCCCTCAATTATTTTCACCAAGGGAAGCCAATTTCGGCTAGCCTCCTCTCGCAACAGAGTGCAATCTACTGTTTCACCATAACATCTAGAGGGGCGCTGTTTCACTCTTTGTAAAATACTCAATGAGAATGGGGGAGAGATGGGCCGGCGGAATAATTACCGAAACTAAACGAAGTGTTTTTATGTATTTATTAAAATTATAACTACAATCCAAAAAAACAGGGGAAGCCTGGCTTCCCTTGGCCTCCAGGAGAAAACGCCACTGAGTTCAAGGGATAATTCTCACCCACCTCTTGCTCTTGCCCTGCACGTGTGCCAGTTGAGCTGGTTCTTCCAGCAGCTCTACTCTGTCCCTCATCATGAACGCAGGAGGCTGGCTGTATATCTGAACTCACGCCCTCATCATTCTCTTCATCATCTTGCACTTGTTCTAAGCTGCTGCTGATAATGCTCGTAGCAGCGCTGCTGCCAAAAAGGTCTGTCAATTTGCGACATGTATATGCTTCACCTGCGAGTGACTTCATCTTTTTTGTTCTCGCCTTCTCGGCCCCACCTTTTTCTTTTCGTTTTCTTTGATTTGTATCCATGTTTTTTTATTCTTCCTGTCTGCCGCGGCGTCTAATCCCTTCTCTTCGTGTGGCCGGTCTTTTTTCTTCTTCGTGTGTTGTTGACAGATAAGAACCACACAACTGCATTAGCGGCCGCTGTCGCCCGTCAGCGCAACTTAAATGATGCCGTTAAACAATTTTTTTTTTAAAGGGCCGGCCGGCCGTCAACGGCCCTTGACGACCGGCCGTTCTGTGGTTCTCCAGATTCTACAGATGGCCAGTCCGCCCCTGGCTGTGATCATGAGCTATGGGCTTTGTAGATACAGGTCCCGGGGTGAATCGTGGTGCAGGGGCCCTTCTCTTTTTGACCACAGGGCGATGCACGAAGATGGTGGTATAGCCTCTGCTCTCAGCCTAGTCTTGCCCTTTTTTGTCTTGACAAACTGGTCTGCATCAAAATGTGCCTGCGGAGTGACTTGAGGTTACTTCACACACAGAACAACTCAGTTTTGTCTGCCCACATACATATTCCATAGTGGTTGAATACACAGTATTAGGAAACACTTTATACTTACTGGACATGTTATACTCATTACATACTGTATATAAAATATGACCAAGAATGTGAGACAACTTTATAGAAATTCATATCACATCTGTTACTGAGGCCATTTTTCATACTTTGTTAAACTCACAAATAATAAAGTTCCATAACTTCAGTTGGGAACAAAGACCACACCTTATCTCCCCAAGGCAATTTCCTATCCAATAGGTGTGCTATATAGGTGTGTATAACCCTTTCTCCTGTCTGTTTATCCCTCTTTCAGCACAAGAACCAGAGGGGGATTCAATGGAGCCTGAATACCTGCACTGAGACCCTCACCCTGCACCCTGAGTCTCAACTCTGTGTTTTTCAAGCCTTTCCCTGTTTTTTGTATTAAACAAAACATTAAGCTTTCCCAATGGTGTGGTTTTCGTTTTGTGAAAAAGTGCAAATGCAGTGTTTGTATATAAATCACATATTTTTTTGCTGTTGGTCGTGAAATTGCTCCTGCTTCCTCCGCTCTGTGTCAGTGGGGAAGCCGTACATTCGTACTCCTTTCTCGGAGCGACTTGAGCATCCCCAGGCAGCACAGCAAACCATGGTGGCGACTAGGAGGCAGCACAGCAAACCAGGACAACAAGGAGGAAAAGGCACAGACAAACTGCATGATATGCTATTCAATGTTTATTGAATTCCATGTATTTGCAATGGATGTTCCTAAAGCAACACATTTAACATCATCATCATCATGCTGCTGCTGCTAGTCCTTTGATAGTCACCTGTCGGTCTCCTGTCCTTTCTGAAAGCCATAAAGATGACATTAGTCATTTAGATAACTTGTGTCCTCAATTACCATGGGATTACTGAAACTACCATGAATTTAAGAAAATGGTAGACATTAATCTAATCTGAATTTTAAAGCATTACTTTAGATCCCCTCCCTCTAAATATATCAATAAACATTAGAAAGTGATGCTCCTGACTACCATACAAGTTTAAGAAGATAATATTGGTTTTAAAGAATTCAAAGCTATAAATAAACAGCAACAGGCTCTTTAACCAAGGCACTGTTAGCCTACCATGTAAACTAGTTGTTCACACTAATCCTAATATTATCACTTAATATTAGCAAATTCTATTTTATTTTTTAAAACATATTGATGTAAACACATACACATATCGAATTGTTGTATAAATATTGCAAATCAAAACCTTTATTCACTAATAATTACCAAAAATCGTAGTTCTATCTCCTGTTATCAATGCATTCACATTGCCCGCCATGAACTTCCGGGGAACGATCCTCGTCTACATGAACCACGTGACGATAACCGTTTTTGGACTTCCGTTGTCGTAACTCTTCTATTATATGTCTCTGACCCAAACCAGACATGATAGCCTCACCCTAAATCACACAATATTTGATTTATCAATTTGACTCTAAATGGCACATGGACATCATAACTAGTAGTGTTCTGCTCTGGCATATTAAAGGGATAGTGGAAATCCACGAATTTTGGGTTTAACTTATGTATTTTTATAAAAAATAAGCATAATAAACAATTTTTTTTTATTTCATGCGCATAGTTTCATTTTATTTTCAATTTTACTGCGCCCTCTCAATGAAACGAAATACTTCGGGAATCGTCGGGAATCTTCGGGTGATGACGAGAGCATAGGAAGCCGGGCACAAACAATGGCGGACATTCAATAGCATTTGCATGTGAATAGCCGAGTATATTGCCATAAATATGATGATTGATTATCAGTAAACAATTCTACGTGACACAACGACATTGGATTAACCTTGAGATGCGTTTTTATTCCGTTGAACACAACTTTTGATCACAAATCAAAAAAGGTAAGACGTAATTATTGTAATATTTTTGGAACCGGATGTTGTTTACTTTCTCTTATCTGGCTGATA